ATTTAACAGATCCCCCCCCCCCCCCCCCCCCCCCCACACACCAAAAGTAAACAAACAGGGGTCTTGTGCTGGTCTGCACCTTGTAGGAATCATGACATTGGTTCTGAATTTATTTGCTAATTCAACAAAATTTTCTTGTCGTGCATTTAAAGTAGAAATGCACCATAGACAATTCACACAAATTTTATATGACTCACAGCCAATGGAACTTTAGTTTATATTGCAATTAAGTTATTTTGATCATTTTTGAGGCATGCTCTGTTCCATTGTATGAGGTACCAGCAAATGTAACTGTTTCCTCGTTTGAATTTAAAACAAAAATGCTGTCAAGAGAAAACATGGTGTCTAAAGTCCTTCTGCAATGTTAATTTTTTGTGTATTTAGGTGTTTCAGAACTTTCTAGTTTGATACTGTTGCCTCAAAGTTTGTGTGGATGTAAGCACATTCTCACAAAGTCAACAGCCTGTGTATACATATACAAATGCTTTCGCATGGTTTGTTTTGATACATCCTGACGTGTGTGTGGAACATGGCTATTTATACAGATCATTGATATGATCATGATCCAACATACAGGATAATGGTGTGAATGCTGAAGCAGCATGAACAGAAAAAAACAGATCAAGGCCTTTTCTGTTTATTGAAAAAAAAAAAAAAGCTAAATAAAAACATAATCTAACAAATAAATGAACTCGATGGTTTTTTTCATACTGACAGATTTAACACCCATTTATGTTTTACTTGTAAGATCACTGCAGCATTAAGCATAATTATATTTAACAAACAAAAAATATATATATTTATTCAAATCAACTAGTCCAGTCATTGAAAAGCACATTCTTCATTTATTGCAGTCAACTTTTTTATTTTACTTTTAATTTATCTCTGGTTACAGTTATATGTTGTACAGCCAATTTTAGATAAAATTCAGAGTTCTTTTAAAAGTTCAAACACAAAAAACTTTTATTACACCTTTAAATGTTTTACAGAAATTGTAGGAAAGTTTCACATACAAAAGTTTAAAGTACACAAGGTAAAAATATGAATGTCCTCTAAAAACGGATGAGAAACCATTAAGTTACTGTAACAAATTCTTTCTTCTCAAATAAAAGCTAGGCCTTTTATCTCCAAATAAAAATAAACAATTGACTCATTTGCCTGCTAAATTTAACTGTTTATTTATGTTAACACTGGGGAAAAAAATTAAACCTGTGTATAAAAATGAAAGTTCATCACGGAGTGTTAACAAAACATCAGAAAGCTGGTACGGTCAAATCTAGAAGGTGTGACATCATCTGACCTAATCATGTCCACTCGTCACATAAAGTACAGAAACCTACATGCAAAACAGGAAAAATATATTTTTCAAGACAACAGAATAAAAGTCATAAAACATTCAGTGTTCCAGTAACATTTCATGGTGATTTACAGAAATAAGTCACAGTAAGTGTGTTGCATGTGGTGGCTCAGTGCTGGCCCTCACTCTGGACTCTACAGGCCACAGCTGTGATCAGAGCTGCTCCTTTCCCACTTCCATCCTCTGACTTCAGGAAGGTCACCTGACACTGCGGGGCCAAATCCTGCAGAGTTTCTTGCATGATGCTTGAGAAACTTTAGGATAAGTGGAAGAGAACACAAATGAGACTTACTATATATATATATGTATATATTTAAATCACTACTCTTTTTGAATGTTTAGATAATGTGCATTAACACATACAATTACATAACACTTTAGGAGGCAAGTTTAATAGTTTGTAATGCACGTTTGAAATGTTTTAGTCATAGATCACAAAATATTTATTTTCTTATCCAAAGAAGTTGATTGGAAAACAAAACATCAAGAAAATAGTGACAGCGAAGTCTTGAATATGAAGACCACGAGGAGGGAAACGTGTCAGGAGACAGAGGGAGAAGACGAAAGTCAAGAATGTAGGACTGAGGTTTGCAACTCTAAATGTGGGGACAATGACAGGCAAAGGTAAAGAGCTGGCTAACATGATGCAGAGAAGGAAGGTAGATGTTTTATGTGTCCAAGAGACCAAGTGGAAGGGCAACAAGACGTGCAGCATTGGAGCAGGATTCAAACTGTTTTACCATGGTGTAAATAGAAAGAGAAATGGAGTAGGGGTGGTCCTGAAGGAGGAGTTGGCAAAGAATGTAGTAGAAAAAAAAAGAGTGTCAGATAGGGTGATGTGCCTGAAGATAGAAGTAGAAGATCTGATGATAAATGTTGTCAGTGGTTATGCTCCACAGGTTGGATGTGATGAGGAGGAGACAAAAACATTTGTGAAGGATCTGGATGAAGTGATAGAGAGTACTCCAGGGAGGAGAGAGTGGTGATCAGAGCAGACCTGAATGGACATGCTGGTGAAGGAAACGGGATGAAGAAGTGATGGGTAGGTTTGGTGTCAAGGAAGGAAACCAGGAAGGACAGATGGTGGTGGATTTTGCCAAGAGAATGGAAATGACTGTAGTCAACACTTTTTTCCAAAACAGGGAGGAACAGAGTGACCTATAAGAGTGGATGTAGGAGTACACAGGTAGACTATATTATGTGTAGAAGAGGAAACCCGAGGGGGGATTGGAGACTGTAAAGTTATGGCAGGGGAAAGTGTGGCCAGACAGCATCATATGGTTGGGTGTCGAATGATTGTTGTTGTGAAGAAGAGAAAAATATTAAATCAGAGAATAAGACCAAATGGTGAAAGATGAAGAAGGAAAAATATGAGAAATTCCAAGAGAAACTGTTAAAGGGTCTGGATGGTAAGATAGAGCTTCCAAATGACTGGGCTACTACAGCAACAGTAATCAGAGAGACAGGCAGGAAGGTACTTGGTGTGTCATCTGGACAGAGAATGAATAATAAGGAAACCTGGTGGTGGAATAGTGAAGTGCAGGATGCCGTTCAAAGAAAGAGATTAGCCAAGAAGAAATATGATAGTGAGAGGACTGAAGAGAGGAGACAGGAATATAAGGAGATGGGACGTAGACCAAAGAGGGAAGTTGCTAAGGCAAAGCAGAGGGCGTACGATGAGTTGTATGGGAGATTGGACACTAAAGAGGGCGAGACAGAGGGATCGGACTGGAAAGGATGTGCAGCAGGTTAGGCTTGTTAAAGATAGGAATGATAATGTTCTAACAAGTGAGGAGAGTGTGACGGGAAGACAGAAGGTAGTAGGACCTGATGACATACAAGTGGAGGTTTGGAAATGTCTTGGAGAGATGGCAGTGAGGTTTTTGACTAATATTCAATGGCATATTTGAGAGTGAGAAAATGCCTGAGGAATGGAGAAGAAGTGTGCTGGTGCCCATTTTTAAGAACAAGGGTGATAAGATAAGATAAGACTAGATAAGATAAACCTTTATTGATCCCACAGGAAATTGATGTGCCAGAGTTTTAGTACAAATGAACATACACAAAGAATCCAAAAAAGTTCAATCTGGTCCTCTGGACA